GCCGTTACACAAATCGGGCAAACAATTAAGTTCAACACCGGTGTTGAACTTAAGCTCTTTTTTTTGGAATAAGGTTTTTTCCCGGATTAAGCCTTGATCAAAAATATTAAGCTTTGTTTCAGCTTCAGCAGCGAGCCTCAGCGTCAACCAAGCTGCGTGATCACCCCGGTAGCGATTTTAGCGCTCTGCAGCTCTGAAGTCCTACAAATCCGGCCCTGAACGCCTTCCCAGGCCACTTGTTGAAACTGGCCCCTGTAATCACTTGGCCTCTTTTGGTAAGCCCGAAAAAAGGCAACAAAAACAGTTTGACCACCAAAATACTTAGGCTCAAAAACATGCTTATGGCCAAAGTGTGTTCGGAGTTGGCTCGGGGGTTTGTTCGGAAATCAACCAATTACAAAGTTCGCTCGGAGCTTGTTCGCTTGTTCGGAGTTTGTTCCGAGCTCGCCCGGAGTTCGTTCGGAGTTCGTTCGGAGTTTGTCCGGAGTTTGCTCGGAGTTTGTTCGGAGTTCGTTCGGAGTTCGGAGTTCGCTCAGAGTTCGCTCGGAGTTTTTTCGGAGTTTGTTCGGAGTTGGTTCACGGGGAACCTGGGCCTCTGAGAAACGCCTACCAAGAGAAACAGTTCTGCTCCTCCGTATTATGTAGTGTGTGGCCAAAACCGTAAAAAATGTGCCCATGCAGGATTTTTTGCATGTCACTGCTTTCTTTGTGAACACTTGCAATTGCAAGCCCAGAATCTAGCCAAAATGCCAGCAGAATTTGGGCTCAAGAACAACGCACTTTGCTCGTACAGAAGAGGCGGCTTCATAGTGAAGTTTTTCCCGAAAAACAGTTCAAGCCCTTTCCTCTTGGCGGCCAAGACTCATTTCTGTTTAGACGCCCCCAAACCCCTTTCGTCAAGCTGTCTTACCCCGAAGGCTTAGCGCGCAGAAACGGCGGGGTCCCCTGGGAAGCAAGCAAATTGATTCTTGTTTCGAGGAAACTGGCATCAATAGTACACTTTGAGATTTGCTGCAAAATCTGGGCTTTTCTTTTTTTGGTTTTGGCAAACCCTTAAGTTTGAGTAAACCGCCCTTATTCTTTTTTAGGACCTTAAAACACCCAAATCCCGAACGAACCGACCTGACCCATGAAATTTGGCACTGTGTACCTGCACAAATCCCTCTTTTTGGAGTCAGCATCGAGATTGTACTCTGAGCCAAACTGCGTCAGGCCAAATGGGCGTGCCTCTTTTTCGGGCGTTGGTGCCTTCTTCTTTGGGGTTTCAAAGGGACTCCGTTGTTGAGGCGTCCACTTTTTGAGACACCGCCGACTTATTTGGGGGGTGCAGCGGGACCCCAAAATTGGAGGTCCAGGTCCAGGTAGGCATCGCCGTCAGGACGAGGCCAAGCGCGCGGAGCTGAAGGCTCAGGAGTCTCAGCGCGGGGCCGAGTGGGTCTCATCCACGTCGCGTTTTCTGGATAGGCACCTCAAAATCGGCTCAACAATTAGCACCTGAAAAGAAAATGAGACTGCCCGGTGGGATTCCCGTCCAACCATGCATTTGTGGGGGATTCCCTGGTATCTGGGCAACAAATTCTACTGGTGGTTTGGATTCCCGAATAGGTGTGCAAAATGTCAGCTTCCCTCAAAAAGGGTGGTTTGGAGGGTTGGTGGTTTGTATTGGTGGTTTCACATCTACCCTCGGCAAGAACAAGGGCTTCAATTCCAAATCGAAGCCATCGATCCAAACCACCAATCAAGGGATACTTGGTACCCCGAAAAAGCCGAAAAAGGGTTGGTTGAAAGGGAAACCAAAAGTACAGCTTTTTGTTCACTTGGGGTGCGTTCTGGATGGTCTACAGGGAATTGAGACAACGGTGAGGGTTCCTGTATGGCCGGTTCTTCTTTTCGTCGTTTCACCACATTTGAGAAGTGACAGATGCTGGGTACTGGGCCCCTTTCAGCGGGTTTCGAGAAGATCCCTTCGCTCGCCAAGTCGCAGTTCGTTTTTGCAAGAAGGTGAGGTACCACTTCTCGGGAAGAACCAGCCAGCCCATCCCTCACTCACGCGCACCCATGCATGCGGAGAAGCACCGCAGTGGCAAATTCATAGGCGCGACAACTGGTAGAATGGGTTGTTCAAAACCAAGCTTGAATCTTTACCGCAGATTCTAGTGGTCTCCTTTTCTGGATAGTGGCTTGCCACCAAAATTATGGATACTTTGCTTGCTCAGTCTCTTCGCGCTCTCCTTGCGTTTTCATGGCGCGGCGTTCCTAAACAACAACGACATGCACAAGAACTCTTGCATGCCCCTACAATGTTCTGGTAGGAGGAGGGCATTGGATGCACATGTTCGGCTATTCGCCTTTTGATGCAACATGAGAAGCAGGACGTGCCTCTCGCGGTCTCCCCAGCACCAAACTCAATGCCAAAGAATGCAAGCCAAAAAGCATGCAAACACGGGGACACGAGGCATTTTCAACCCTAGTTGTTCATCATTTTCAACATGGATGTGTCTTGTTTCGAGGGTACCCTTGCTGGTGGTTTGACAAGGCAACCAAAACGAATGCCATTTTTGAGGGGTCCCCTAAAAAAGACACACCCACATTGGATTTGGCCACGCCAACCTCAAAGAAGAGGTTCTGGGTGCTCCATGCACCGAATTCCACGCACGGGGGTCACGTGTCAACTGGGAGAGGAGAAGCGGAACCTCAAGCTATGTAGCTCCGACACTCCCCCGTTTTTGGCTCCCGAAACTCGCCTTTCCTGTATTCTCTGCCTTTGGGGAAGACCAGACCTTGGTGCAACTCCACTCAGGAAGCGAGAAACAGGCTTTCTCTCTTTCCACCTGTCTCAGCAAAAAAGCCCGTGTCCCGTTTTGCTTGCTGGTGCCCTACCAGAGTCAGCCGCAAGGGCATCCGAAATTCCGCTTTGCGGGAAGCAAACCGAGGCTCCAGCTGCAGCGTGCGGAGAACGAGCTTGCCGTCCGGCAGAAGGACCGGATCCCAAACTTTGAAGCCGGAATTGGGGAAACCAATTCGTGGGGTGTGTCTTTTTGGGGAAACCTCCGTGGTTCTTGACCCCTTTAGGATTTCTATTGTTGCCAGCTGAGTTGTATGTTTGGGTAAACTGTTGTCATGGTTGGATGAGAGTTCTACCGGGCCGTCTCATTTCCCCCTCAGGTACCAATTTTTGAGCCCATTTTGAGGTGCCCCCTATCCAGAAACAAGCCTATTGAGGGAACGCACGGCTTGGTTTAAGTGTGCCTTGCGATAGTCAACAAAGGCGTAATCACAATTGAACAACAAAGCAGCACATCATTGCTGATTTCCTGTATTCCAGTTTGTTCCAGAGTGTCTATGCAAGCGAATGCAAGGGCAGGAATGCCCGGAACATTGGGCCGGCAACCCGCCCACGGCCAAAACCGGATCGACAGGAGCTTGCCGCAGCGGAGCAAAACGCGGCACAGCTGCCTCCAGAGGATGATCAGGAGGCTGGGCGGAAAGCATGCGCGATGCAGCCGCCTGGACGTGCGTGTTTGTTTGTTCGTTTGTCCGTCCGTCCGTTCGATCGTTTCTTGGTTTGTCGGTTTATGTTGCTTCCTTGTTTTTTTTTGTTTCTTTTGTTCTTTCTTTCTTTCTTTCTTTCTTTGTTTGTTTGTTTGTTTGTTTGTTCGTTTGTATTTCAGTTTTGGCAGTTTCCTCTATCTTTGCAGTTGTTTTTTTTCTGTGAAGGGTTTGTGCCGCGGTTCCGTGGTGGCTGCATAATTTCCCTGAAAATATCAACCTTTGTCAAGCAATAACATTCGCACAGGCACAGACACACAATGCAATCGACATTCCCACCATCACAAGAATACCAACGAGGTGGCTTTCGTTTGCGTTTTGCGGCTTGCCGGCGGCAACAACAACCATACATATTATACGAGGGGCAGTTCGGCATGTGAAATCGCAGTGTTTACCTGGCTCAAAATAAAGAATCCTTCTCAATGATTCTCCCAAGCCACATGCTGGGGAAGTGGGTCTTCGTGTTTGTGAACGGGGGCTTTGGGACTTCGAAGTTAGCTTACGTGGCGGAGGGCATTGGTTGTTTTACTTATGTTCTCTTGTCCCTTTTGGTGTAGTTTGTAGCATTGACTCCTACCGGGTGCTGCAGCATATGGACAGTTCCACCAGAAGTTCCACCTCGCCTGAGCAGTTGGAAGCGAGACACACGTTTCCATGCGACATGGGTGACTTGGTCAACCCCTTGATCGACTTGAAACGGGCCCTCTCACTGGTTTTCTTCCGACCTTGGCGAGGGGCTTGCCAGAGAAAGGGGGTGTTAGAAGATTTCCCTTCAAACGCCACCCCAAGAAGGGTACCAGCCCCATACACGACAGGCTCCGTTTTTGGAGCGCTCCCAGGAGTTGTCAATCGACATGTCAGGGGCCAGGGACGAGTGACCCTGATTGAGACAACATGGGTCTTGTGCTTTATTCAGTCTTTTTCAGTGTTTTTTTTGGGGGGGGGTTGGTTAGGGAAACCAAAAGGAACGTATCTTCTTGGGCCCATCAAAACATGCCCAAGAGAGAAAATCACGAGGGAGCCAACTAGTTGTGAGCGGCGAGACAAGGAAGGTGTGAGCTAATGCAGAAGCGGCATGCCTGTTGGCAGGAAATTTAGAGAATTGATTACAGAAGCAACACGTCCTGAGATCCCGGTTTGCATGTCTCAGTCGTTCAGGGGTACCCTGTTTCCAACTTTTTGCTTGGTGGGTTCCTGCTGAGAGCCGGCAACGGGCCCAGTTGAAACGAGTCGAGTCGTGCGCCGCTGGAGTTTGGGTCGCGTGTCCGATTCCAGGAGCAGAGTCTCAAGGAGCAGCTGGCCACCGTGGAGCAGCGCATAGGCGCGTTTTTTGAGGGGTGCCTTGGAGGGACCCGTGCTCGTTTTTACTAGCGGCTTAAGCTGAGCTGAAGCCCGGTTGCTGGGTTGGGTTGGGTTTGGGTTGGGTTTGGGTTGCGCTGGGGGTTGGGTTTGGTTGGGTTTGGGTTGGGTTTGGGTTGGGCTGGGGGTTGGGTTGGGTTGGGCTGGGCTGGGCTGGGTTGGGTTTTGTTGGGTTGGGTTGGGTTGGGTTGGGTTTTGTTGGGTTGGGTTGGGTTTGGGTTGGGTTGGGTTGGGGGGTTGGGTTGGGTTGGGTTGGGTTTGGGTTGGGCTGGGGGTTGGATTGGGTTGGGTTGGGCTGGGCTGGGTTGGGTTTTGTTGGGTTGGGTTGGGTTGGGTTGGGCTGGGCTGGGTTGGGTTTTGTTGGGGGGTTGGGTTGGGTTTGGTTTTGTTGGGGGTTGGGTTGGGTTCTGTGGTGGCGTGGTTGGGTGGTTGGGTGGTTTGGAAGGTGGGTGGTTGGGTATTTGGATGCTGAATGCGCCATTTGCTAGCTTGGTGTCGCTTCGTGGTAGCGAGGAAGTCGGAAAGTTTGGCTGCGAAAGCCCACTTCGAGAGGAACAGGCTCCCCATATATAACAATGGCCCCGTGCTCCGGAGTAACTTGTTGGGCGGTTCCGGAACATTGCGGAACGGTCCGGAACGGTTCCGTACTCGCGCGGTCGCAGGTCGCAGGTCGAAGTAGTCCACGCGGAAACAGCGCGGCACCGTTTGGACTTTTCCGCACTGAATTTGGGATCTGGAACCATTCCAGGCTGTCTCCACCGCTTCGCCAGCTTGGCGCGGAACCATCCCACTCCAAACTGTTCTCGCACTGTCAGGCGACAATGTTTCGCCCACAACGTTGCGTCTCTCCCGCAACACCACAGGAAAGCCCACAGCAAAGCATGGGATCTTGGGCAATCCGCGCGACGCCAGGGGGCCAAGATTTCTAGATGGTGGTAGCTGGTCCCGTCATGCGACGGTTAGCGCTCTGGACTCTGAATCCAGCGATCGTGGGAAGGTTCTTCCGCGTTTTAATGCTTGCCGCGCCACTCAGCTGCGTGCAAGACCAGGTGCGTAGCGAACTGGCAGCAGGCTCGACGGATGCTTGAAGGCCAATCCTTAACATAGTTCCGTAGCTGTCCGAGATAGTTCCGAAAACTTCCGGGATAGTTTCGAGGAATAGTTGCGAGGCAGATTTTGACCCCTACCAGGCGGCAGGCAAAGAAGGCCCCGAGGGGCCCAGCTCATCGCTTCCCGCCGCTTGGGCTCTAGCCTGAGCAACAGCGCTAAATAACAAACGCCGCGAAACCCAGCAAGAGCCACGGCGAAACGCAGCGGGCTCAGCTGCGACGCCCTCCCGAGGCAGCTCATTTTGTCGAGGTCTTCTGGTTGCCGCCGCCGTGGCGCCCCGGCGTGTTTCGTGACGTTTCGGGGCCGCGGCTAAGGCCCGCGGGGCCGCGCTGAGAGCAGAGGGGTAAGGCGAAGCCGAAGATGACTGCGCTGAACCGCCTGCCGCTTTTGCCTCCGCTTCCGCCCCAGCGACGTCGCCGCTCGACTGGTTGTCTCGAGGTGCTCACCAACAGCGAAAGCCACGAGTTGGACGAGGCGGCCCGACCTCCGTCGCCCCTGGGCCCCTAGGAGGAAAGGGACCTGGGCAAGCTGGAGGGCGGCCGAAAAGAAGCGCAGCAAGGCGGCCGTGCCAGGCCCAGGCCGGGGCTCCTTGTTTCGGGTTTGTTTGTCTCGGCCGCAAGCGGCTCGAAACGCAAGGCCCGCGGCACGTCAGCAGCGTGGCGTGGCAGACCGTGCGCGCAGAGCTCCATTGCCGTAGCCTGCGCTCCCCGCTGCGCCCTGCCAGGGGTCATCGACAATGTGCCACGCCCGATGAGACGTGGACTTCGCCGGGCTGGCGGAGAGCTTGGCAGGGCGCTTGGTTTAGGTTTCAACAAACCTCACAAGCAACTACCCCCGCAAGGCCCACAATTTGAACTGCGTCCCCGCTGCTTTGGAACCGTTCCGCGCGGCCATTGTGGGCGCGTGGCACATGTCTGCCGAAGAAGTTCGGCGCGATAAGATCGCCCAATCCTGTCTCAGCGGGTGCCGGCCGAGGATGAAGAAACCCCAAGAGAGTAGCAAAAGCGCTTGGCGGCGGCGAGGCGCGCCCTCTAAGAAGGGCGCCGCAGAAGAGGCCAAGGCTGCGAAGGCCCTGAATTTACAAAGCCACCGAATTCGAGCCCCTCCCCCGAAACCACTGTTGGCAGGCGAGAAGGGCGAAGAAGCAGCAAGAGAACAAGAAGAACAAGGCCGACCGCAAAACCATGACGCAAGAGTCGCTGAAAGGAAGCGAGGCGGGTCCCAACTAGCGAGACTGAGTTTATTCGCCGGGCTGACAGGAGGCCCGGAGAAGCTGCAAAAGATCCGCAACAAGGCCAAGTCAACACGCGTCTGTCTGGTTCTCCGCAACGACGGAGGGGTCGTTGAGCAGCAAAGACAATCAACGTGCGCGCAAACATGAGCAACGGGAAATGCGCAGACACTCAAACCTCGGAGCCGTTGTACACAACTTGGACTGGGGAGGTTATTTACCCGAGCGTTGCCCCAATGATTTTTGAGGCTGTCAGGAGCAGCGCACCATTTACACACGCAACATGGAGCGTGCGTCCCAGACGGTTCGAAAGCCGTACTTCGGCGTTCATGATGGTTCTTCTGGTTCAAGGTGTAGTGTCTCTCAAGCCAGCTTCTCCAGCTCCTCCATCACCTCAGATGCACCTGTCACCGAGAGGAGGAGATGGAGGAGGAAACGGTTCAGCGCTGCACTCATGATGACTACATGGTTGATCCAACGGAGACTGCTCAGGACTACAATCAAGACACGCAACTTGGAGCCCCTAGCTTGCCCGTTGAGGACGATGATCATGATGACTCTGACGATTTGAATACCACGCCAGAAGCAGATTGGCCTGCGATCGCGCTCATTGCGACGCGCAAGCGAGCAAAATATGGGACGCTGTTATTGAGACCGACTCCGCCTTGCAGAAGAATGTCCGCGTGCGGGTGAAATAGTTTTGCGGTCTGGTGGCACGGGGCAAACTGAGGAGGGGCCGGCTGCAGTATGCTTGAGAAGCAGATGGCCGCCTAAGGCAATGGCCGCCCAAGGCAAGAGATTGCTTGGCGCAAAGAGCGCAGACCTGGCTTGCTCAGCTAGTTGCAGATTGACCATGCGACGCTTGTCTTGTGAGGCCCATCGCGGAGTAGCAAGATCCGATTTTGGCAAGGCGACTTTGGGCCAAAGCCGCTGCAAGTGGATGTTGGCAACGGCCAAGACTTATGTAAGTCCCCCAGGCTGGCTGAGACTTCCGGGTCCGTTCACAATTGGTGCTGGACAACGTGAGTGCCCGCGATTTTATCACGCGGTAGCGGCATGTGTTGACGGGCCCGCAAAACCGTGCACGGCCGAAGCGGCTCGTGCGTTTACACGTGCGAGCTCGGATTGTTTTTTTCCGAGAGCTGATTTGTTGTGACAGGGGCTGGGCTGGTTGGTTGGTTGGATGGCTGGATGGTTGGTTGGTTGGTTGGGGTTGGTTGTCACTGCCTCCCAATCAGAGCCCAACAGCCAAACTGCCAAACAACCCAACAGCCCAACAACCCAACAGCCCAACAACCCAGTAGCCCAACAAGCCAAGAACAACCCAACCCAACAGCCCAGCAACCCAACAGCCCATACAAAACTGGGCCAAGTGAGGCTGGTGCTGGGTATGTTGCCAGCTCTGTGCAAACAAGCCCTAGGAAAAACCAGCCCTAGGAAGGAAAACCACCGCTAGCGGCTGTGATCTGTTTCATGGAGAAGAAGCGTCGCCTTCGCCTTATTCTTTCTGGCGCACGAGCCGCTGCCTCACGCTCTGAGCAAGATTGTGCGCACTCCCTAGCGCAAACCAGCTCCAAGAACCCACCCAAAGCCAACCCGAAACCCACCCGGGTTTTAGCCCCACTGCGATTGAACCAGCCCGAAGCAAGCCAACCGCACAAGGTCCAAGTGAGGACGGTGATGTTGCAGATAGCGGTTTTTTGGATTGTGAATGTGGTTTGGGCGCTTGTTTGCCATTTCTTTTGTGTCCAGACAGGGGGGGACGGTGCGTCAACACGGCACCAAAATCATTTCCACACACACACACACACCAAACACTCATATACATAACCTTTCCATTTTCAGCCACTGATGGATGTACCGCCGTGTAGTAGACCCCTATGTGAGAAAGCTTGAGAGCAAGCCGGCCAATGAAACGCACGTTAGACAATAACTTCAATAACTCAGTCTTTTCCTTTTTGCGTCCTGCCAATTTTGCAAATGGCCTCCGGGACCTCGGAACTACTGCTGCGCAAAGGCATTCGGACCACGCCCCAATATCCTAAAAAGACGCCCCAACATCTAAAAAGATCCCAACGCATCTCACCCCAACATTCTGTCCGGACGTCCCCCAACAACCCCCGCCCGCCTGTTTTGAGATGTTGCGCGCTTAAATGTTCGGGGCGGCCTGCCCGCCTCCCGCCCCAGTATTCGAAGGTGACGCCCCGGCATCTTAAGATTTTGGGATATTGCGGCGCTCCCTTGGATGCGTGGAGCAATTAGCAATTCCCCTTCCTTGACCTGGATATGGTTTCCTGGGGGGGGGGTCTCTTGTTTGGGATGGAGCGGCTTTGTACAGCCGTAGCTTCATCCAACGTTGTAGGAGCACGTTGTCTGGCTATGTCGGGACACGCAAAGAACGTGAAAAGTGAAAAATGTAGGCGGGGCTACCTGGCTTTGTGAGAGTAGTAAGGCTGATTCTGTACAGAAAACAACAAAGCAGGCGGAAGCTGGAGCATTTTTCCTTCGAAGCTGTGCGCATGTCTCCTTGAAACATCCCTGTACAACTCTGGAGCCTTTCGGTGGATATGAATCATTCCACTTCTAATTGGAACCAACCAAACAACACCCTTTGACAGATGCATATACGTGGACACTGCCTAAATTTCCGACCAGGGCTCAACGCTAGCCGTCGACGAAGGCCCAGTCTCTGGCCGACTTTGAACAAAGCAGTCTGCGGACCTTTCAGGAAGGGTTTTTAGACAACCAATGTCAGGGTTCCGGTTGCGGGGCCATGACCAGGAGCCACAGATTCAGAGTTTCATATGAGGCAATATCCAGAGACCCACTAATTTTCCGATGCCCTCCAAAGGAAGCCTTGGTAACTTTGACCGTTCATATGTTTCTCAACCTGGACCCCCTGCTTGTGAGCCAAAAGGGGACACACCCAGGCACACTAATGAAGGATTGATTCATTTGGAAGTCCTATGACTGGTGCGGTCCTCAGGATTAATCTCTGGAATGGATTTTAAGAGCTGAACCACCAACCAAAATGGGTTATTTTGGACAGGTTTCCCCCTTTTCCCTTTTTGGGCTATCTCCAAAAGTGGCGCTCGTTTCCATCGAAATTCATCAACTTCAGGGGGAAATCCAGCGACCTCTTCCCCCAACCCACCGCCGCGCCTCTTTCTCTCGCTGCAGGCGCCTCGGGCGCGGAGCTCTTCGCGGCCCTGGACAGCGAGCTGGGCGCCAGCGCGCGGCAGCTGGAGCGGGAGGCGCGCCTGGCCCGCGAGGCCGGCGGCGGTTCGCCCAAGGGGCCGCGGGCGTGGTCGGTGGGGAGTCCTTTTTGGGCGGCGTCGGTTTTTTGGGGGCACCCCTTGTGCAGTCTGGATTTTAAAGGGGAGCCAAAAGGAAGACCGAAATTCATTTTGGAGGTTCGCCAAAACAAGACGTGCCTTTGTGGGTGTGTAAAGCAACACGAAAAGGAGCACCCTACTCCCTGTTCCTGGACTTTATTCAATTTTGGTTTGGATCATTGTTGTGGTAAACACGGAAAGTTGACTTTTCTGATCAATCCACTCTCGGGCAATGAGTGTTAAACTGTTGGTTGTTCAAAATCGACCTTTGAAGCTTTTGGCTTCTTTTGTCCCACGTTTAGGCGCTAAAAGATCAGGTGAGGACAACCTTGTTAAAAGATAGTATGGTGTATGGTCTACCCGAAAGTGTAGGTTTCCTTTGTGCCAACCTTTTCCCAAAAAGTGTGTAAGTTTGGGTTGCTGCTTGTGTTTTTGCTTGTGCAATTCAGCTAAATGGGTACAAGGACCACTCATGACACACAGTATCATTTTAGGATCATGACTTGATTTGGTTTCAAAGTACCCACAGCCGCCCAGGTGGGAGGTGGTGGGGTTGGCGGGTAGGCCGGGGGCGGAGGGTTTACGCTCCTTCAACATTTGTGGGTGACAGTACAACTTGGGCTATGACGCAAAGATCGCGGAAATTTTGAGGGGCGAACCACGAACCATCCTTGTTCTTTGTGACGTCTCCTGGTTTTGCTAGTTCCGGGCGTTCCGGGTCTTTGCCTTTGTTGAGGCACCATCCTACTTGATGGGCGACTTGATATGAGCCTTGAATATGTGCTCATTTGGCTACACCAAAACGGTTGGTATGTAGCTGGAAGCTCAAAAAGGAAAACCAAACCTGAGCGTACGCTCATGTTTTGTCAAAGGGACATGGTACCCTGCCTGTACCGATGGTTTAGGTACATAGACTACCCCCTAGGTGTGGGTATAGGTACGTACACCCAGCCGTTGCTAGGCCGCGCAGTTCCGAGAGGACGCGCTGGCGCGGGAGATCGCCGGCTTCCAGGCGACAAATCGATCTCCGGGACGGATCGGGCCTTGGGCCACGCAGGGATTTGATCCCCTTTGTAGTGGCTTCCCTACAGGGATTCTAACCCTCCATTTTGAACAGCCCAGATGGATCTATTTTCAACCAACACCGTTTGCAGGTGTTTGCAGGTGATCTATGGATCTATGTTTCCAACGATTCAGGTTTCCATGCAGCCAGTTTTCTGCAAGGTTCCATCCGTGCGGCTTCCATTGCCCACGAAGTGAAGTGAGCCGGTCCGCCGTATTCCCCCCTTGTCAGTCTGTTAGTTGTATTTTTTCCGAGGAAAGGCAAACCCCATCGAAGATCAAACAAGCAGCGGTTTTTGTTCCATTTGTTCGTTTTGCAGGGATTTCAAGCAACGAAGCGGAACCCAGCAATCAACCAACAACAAGCATCAACAACATCAACCAACAAAAACTAGACCCCGCGTATCCCGAAAGCGATCATCAAAAAGCAAGAACCCAATCATGCCCCGTTCTCTCTGAAGACGCTTTCGCGATGAAGCGACAGGGATGAGTGGAAGACAAGCATGCTCACAAGCCCAGAGCTGCAAAAACGTACTTTGCGTACTACCTCCGCCCTTTAACACAACAACAACAAGCGCAAGAGCTGCGGGAGCGCTCCGTGCGTACCTCTACATCGGAACCACGACTTTCGCGCAAGAGTTGCGGACACACACACACACACACTTCCTGTATATATAACTTACATACGTATACTGTGACAGTGTATACTTAAGCCGCAATTTCGCGCCAGAGCTGCAGAACGTTCTTCGCGTGCCACTTGCAATACTTAAAAGCTCTGCTTTCGCGCCAGAGCTACGCAAACATATTTCCCGTATTCCTTTCGTGCTTCAAATCGCTGTTTCCCGCCTCGTCCCAGAGCTGAGAGAAGCGCACTTCTCGCGTGACTTTCGGCCAAATTCGCGCGCCGCAACGAGAGGGCTTTGCAAAGAAGAGCTGCGCAACGAGATGCGCAGAGGAAGGCTCCGCAACAATAGCAGAGCTGCGCAGCAAGGGCTATTTTGAGATGTTCTGTGATGCAGGCTATGTTGAGGTGTGCTGGCAGCAAATGTTGAGATGTGCTGTGCCGTCACGCTATGTTGGCATGTGCTGCGCAGCAGGCTGCAGGGCCATGTTGAGATGTTCCGTGAAGCAAATGTTGAGATGGCATCGAAGCTATGCCGAGACGTGCTGTGAAGCGAGGCTATGTTGAGATGTGCTGTGTAACAAAGCAGTGCTGAAGGAAGGTTATGTTGAGGTGTGCAGTGAAGTCAGGCTATGTTGAGATGTTCTGAACAACAAGGCTATGGTGAGATGTTTTGCAAAGCTAGGCTATGTTGAGATTTGCTGTGCATCAAAATTATGTTGAGATGCGCTGCGCTGCGCAGCAAGGCTATGGTGACATGTGTCGTGAAGCAAGGCTATGTTGAGATGTGCCTTGCACCTTGCAGCAGAGGGAAGTTGGAACCCTTTGCTTCGCTTTCGGCAAACATGGGTGCCCTTTCTTTGTCTCCCATGCACTGGGCTAGGCCACGTGTTTCCCTACCTGCTTCTTTGAGGATCTCTCTTCCAAGCAGATTTGGGTCTGTGTCAACATATAGCCCCCCCAACCCAAGACAAACACTGTCATTTTGCATTTTGTTTCGTTTTAACCATACCCTACAAGTACGCCTACAAAAAAGACACCTGCATTTCCTGGTTTGGGGATGGGAGCCTTTTTTTTGCTCCATCTGCCAATCCGCGTGTCACACCGGGCGCTTCAGGCGGAGCTGGCCATGGTGGAGCAAAGCCTCCAGGAGAGGGATGGATCGATCTATCCGGCTGAGGCTTTGATGGGATGGGGTTTGGTTCATGGAAAACGGCAGGAGCTTCTACAGGACTTTGGCCAAATACCCACCAAAAGCAGGGATGTCCCGTAGCTTTCTCAGATGTTGTTTCAGGGATCTCTTAAGCGGCTCCTACTACAGAGGCGTTTGTTGGGCGCACGCTGAGGTAAGAGTCCCAGTTCCAGTCGATGTTCCATGTTTTGTTCGGGCGGTGGCCCCATGTTTCAACCCACCATTGAGTTTGATCGGGGGATGTCCCAGTTTACCATAGACCCAATGATGCTGATTGGAATGTCCAATTTTAGAGAAACAACCTTGGTTTTTATTTGGCCAAGGTTCATTGGGGGATGTCCCATTTTAGGATGATGCCCCCTTTGAGTTTGATTCGGGGATTCCCAATTTAGACGACCGCCCTGCTTCATTTTTATTCGGGGCTATCCTATTTTCTGGTTGACTGGCAAGGGGTTTGCCCTTGTCAGAGGGGATCCGGGTCAATGTCGGGGAGTGCACCGAGGTCGAAAACCATGGCGAGGGCACCTATCCATTCTGTGGTTTGGAGGCTCCCCAAAGGCTGCTTAAACCACGCGGCGTCTGCCTGTGCTTTGCGTAGTGCCCTTTGTGCCAGCTTTGCAACGGCATGTCTCAGAAATAAGTGCCCCTTCCAAAGAGGTCCCAAACGTGTGGGTGTTCTGCAAAGTAGGGAACGACATCTTTTGGGGCAGAAGCACGCCCACCACGCAAAGAGGGTTAAACAAGCAACCTACAACATTGAAAGCATGCTCTTTTTCTGCTGTGCTTGGTGTTTTGACTTGAACTCCCAAGCGGCGAAAGAAGTATACGCGGGCTTTCCAACATCATGTTTACAGGCACCGTGAACGCCACACATGAGGTTGTAACCCTTGGTTTGCACCAGCGAGTCGCAACCCAGCTGCATCACATTTGTTGCGTTCCCTCGGATTGTCCAGAAGTTGACCTGAGGGACAACCGGAAGTGGAATCCTAGCGATCTGTGTGCATTGCTGAGATGTTGCCCTGATTGTTGATCTCTTTCAAAAGCATGCGGGAATGTTCTCGACTGGAGATCCGCTGCGCTCCCACGCAGGTCACATTTGTCTTGGCTTCACCACCCCACGTGTCCGGCTTGGCTCGCAGCTGCAGCTCCAACATCTCGTCGTAGTATGTGTCCTTGAGCGCTTCTTCACAGATCTCCTCAGATTGCTGGCTCAGTTCGACAATGGACTCGGCGGTCGAACCTAGCACTTTCTCGGCAGCTGGGTGAAAAACTGTGACCCAGCATGATCCGAAAGCATCTTGAAAACGGCAGCGCACATTCAGCAGCGGCCCCACCTGCGCAGCGCAACTGCATAAACGCAAAATGATCGCGCGCAAACCCGCCTTCCCCGACTTCTGGCACATTCGACAATACCCGGTCTCGTCAACTCTTCGGTTACACTGCAGGCTGCCGCCATCTTTCAGCTCCAGGCAGGCCATGTAGTACAAAGGCATGGCCTGCCAATTCAAATGTGTGGCACACCAACTGCATTTGTGCTTTTTGTTCTTTCTCTCTCTTTCTCTTTCTCTCTCTCTCTCTCTCTCTCTCTCTCTCTCTCTCTCTCTCTCTCTCTCTCTCTCTCTTTATATATGTAGATGAATATACATATATATATATATATACACATTTAGAAATATAAACAAACAAAAACATCGCGCCTCGTGGGTTTTTTTCGGAGCTGTAGCGACCCAAGTCGGCATATGAGCGTATAGGACTGCTGCTCCCTCACAGCCTGCTGCGACATCGCTGAGATCTCTACCGAGGTCGCTCTTTGTGGAGGTCGAAGACTACCAGCTGGGCTGCTCGAATGTGAGATGTAGGTCAATCTCTGCTGGTTGCCTCCCTTGTACCACCAGGCGGCTACCCGCTGCGCCTCTGGCAAGAAGGTTGGGTTGAGTATCATGGATCCTGCTTCCGCCATGGAGCCGCTTCGACAGCTCATCCACTCCTTGACCTGAACTCCTTTGAGGGCTACCACGGGGCTGCCGGCAAACTCGCGACTATCTAATCTGGCTCTGTCACCCCACAAGGTAATCAGCACGCTGTGGCCGCTGTCGTCTGCCACAGTGATCTCTCGCTTGACTAAAGCTTTTCCTTCTTTGGTCTGAAACTCTTGAGGGTGCTCCGCTGAAACGATGACTCCGCAGATATCCACGCTGCTAGGCACAGCCATCTGTGTCACTGAAGCAATCTTCTGCACGGCGAGACGCACTGCTCCGATGTCAGTGTCGTCGTCTACCATGTGTGTCTGACATCTGCCGTCGAACACCAGCTCGTAGCCATGCTTGAGCACGCTGTACTTCTTCTGGGCAGGGCGCACGCTGCCGTTGCACAGCGTGAAGCATCTTCCGCACTGCATGAGATCATAGTGCTGCTCCGCAGCTTCGTTGAACAAGCTTGCACGAATCTCGCCTCCTTCTCTATCCAGCAGCTCCACTGAGAACACCATTCCCTGCAGGCCGACCAAATCCACCAAACTCAACCAGTCACTGCAAACCTAACATATGCGAAGACTCAACAACTCCCACGAGCCTGTCCAGCACCATTCTTGTTTTGGAACTGACGCAGCTGTGACCGGCTGGTCACTCTGCACTTGATGGTCCACTTCGGACCCACCCAGGTACTTAGCTCTCTGACTGGAAAAAAAGCGCGATGTTCGCTCATGCTGCAGTTTGCTTCGAGCAAAACAACTAACTAACTAAAGCCAAAACACCTGCGAGCCGCTGCCAAACACAACGTGTGAAAGACAACACCGCCCAAGCACAGCACACGGACCGTCAACTCTCATTCTTTTCATGGCTCGGTGCTCGATTTGCACTTCTGCTGCGCGGGACCGATTCTCCGCTAGCTATTCCGCGTGGCGCAACCTTCGGCTGAGCTACTGACCTAGCCTTCGGCTTGGCAATCCGAGGAAGCAATCCGAGCAAACCGCTCGCGCCCAAACGCTGCCGGTGCGTTTGTCTCCCAGGCGCCAGCCTCGGGAGACCATGTCTTGCTGATGGACCAAGTCGTCGTCGCCCATAATGCAATTTTTGGTGACATCCATTTCGCGGCATTGCTGGCAGACGACCGCGTACCGGTAGTAGCGAGGATCGTCCTTGGTCGCTACAGGTTCACATGGCCACTGCTCGTCTCGCACAACCAAAAACAAAACATCCCTCGTCAACTCTATGACAGCCGAGCCGCGGTGCAATAAAATGCTGTCGTCTCTGTCAAATCCCGAGAAGTCATGTTGATCATCATATAATCTTTAGTCGTCACATTTACGAAATCCGACGACTCGCCTACCGGCGGATCATGTTGGGCGCAGCTTCTTTCATCCGCTCGTCTGGCCGAAGTTGGCTTGGGCGGCGGCGACTTCATGACGGCGCCTGGTGGGATCTGCCGCAGCACACATGGCGGCGGCGCCTTGGTTGGCAGATGTGTCGGCTGCACGCAGGGGGCTTTCGCCTTTGTCTCGAAGGCTGGCGGCTGGGGCTCAGCAGGTGTTTGCGTGAAAAAAAACGAAGTTGGATGCTGCTGAGCCGGCGCAGCCGGCGCACAAGGAGAGGCCGCGGGAGTTGGGAAGCTTGGCGGAGCCGAAGGAAACACCAGAGGCGAAGAAAACAGATCACGCGGGCGAGCCTGCCGCGGCTCTGGCACATGCCAAGGATCATAATCATAGCCATACCCATTTGTCGGCTGCCAGGCAGGCTGGTGCTGTCGTAGACGCTCAGCTAGGTATGTGTGATCGTAGTTCGCACCACCTGCCTGACCTTCGGTCTGGCTCTCAGCCGTCCTCCCGCAGGTTTGCTGAGCAGCAGCTGCATCTTCGGTCTGGTCTACGCTGGCTCGTGAATACTCAGCAGGCGGCCGACGAAAGTTACTTGGCACCTGGCTCGAGGCTGCCGCTTGGCCGGGCAGCTGCGGCGGCCGATCTTCGCGAACTCTCTGCCGTTGGGCGCTCGCGGCAGCAGCCGCCACCGGCATGGCACAGCTGCCAGCCCGTTGTCAATGGCCCAGCAGCGCAGCCAGTTGCATTGCGTTTGCGCTTGCTGCACCAGCTCCACAAACTTCGGCTGGGTTGAGTTGAGCGGACTCGCATAATGCAGTGGACCGCACGGTGGCCACAGCCTGCCTGCCTGGTCCGGGTGCACCATCTTGAAGGCTCTTTTCACACCCGCTGCGATCCCAGCTTCACTGGCATCGTGCGCTATGTTCATGCTGCAAAATGGGCATGCCATTGCTTGGAGCAGGTAAATGGTAGCCTGCTGCTTTGGCCAAAAAGCTTGCGGTCATGCACAACTACAGTTTCAACTGTTCGTGATGTCGGGCGCGAACCCAACTGTAACGCTACAGAATGCTATAGAAAAAAAAAGATACCCCCCCCCTCTTTATTTAAAGCATTCTGTAGCGTTACACCTGGCCAGTGGCATCCTGCAGCACACGGCTCACGTTTTACACGAGGCCACAGTTTTGGGGATTGGTGGGAACCTTCTTTTTTTTTCACAGGTTCTTCCTCAGAGCGGCTCTTTTTGAGTGGGGATCTTTTTCCAGCACGATACCCCGATTCACTGAGACTCTTGGGACTTGCTTGGAGCCTCTTTGGACCTTTCCTGAAAGATGGCCCGGGAGGGGGATTGGTTGGGGGTTTGAACCCCACTTCCTTTTGAAGCCAAATGGGGAAGGTGACCAACATGATAGGATAGGGGCAACACGTCTGGGACCCGAAAGGGTGGTTTCCCTTTGGTGCCCAGTTAAACCACCGCGGAAAAAAACGGGAACCCTTACAGAAACACACGCTCATATGCCTTTTTTAACGGTGAAAACACAAAGGGGGTCAGGTGAAAGAACCAAACCAGACCAAACCAATGCATAGAAGCACCAGGGTCTGTTACCAGCAGCCACGGGCCAGGAGAAGCGCGGCCGTGGCCTGGACGAGGCGGTCCCATGGGACTCCCACAAGCATAGGTCTTTGTGTTTTGGTATTTCCACCTTGGGATGTTTTTTTACATATCACCTCTTGGGGTGCTGAAAGGGGGGAAATATAGAAGCGAGTGCGCGCGCGCCTTTTTTAGGTTTCAAGTTCACATGGCTTCGAAAGTTCCTTCTTTGTTTTGCATTTACGGAAACGCAAGGGCTGGGGGCCTCAAGCGATGAAGAGTATGGTTGCCCTTTTTTGAGACGCTCTGACGCCTCCGGTCTGTCGGCTTTAGGGGAGTTTCAAGGAAAGTCTCCCCGCTTCGGGGTCAAGTGGTTGGAGTGTTTTAAAGGTTGAGACGGATCCGTACAGAATCAACAGGTCTTCTCGCTGCACCAATTTCAGGTATTCCCGCAAATGCTGGTTGATCACCTGGACCGGTTCCAGACCTCACTCAGCTGCTCCGAAATGGATCGGCGGCTTCCAATGTCAGCCACGACCCAAAGAGGAACTGGGCGAAATACCCAGCAATCAACATGAAACCGTTCGACGTTCGGGTCCGAAGGGACGGGGTCCCGAACGTCAGGTTCCATGTCTACTGGGAGGGTAGTTCTTGTTGAAGGTCGATGAGTGTTTCAGGAAATTTCCCGGTTTTCAAATTTGGGGGGCCCTGTCACACGAATCTCCTTTGGGATTTTGGGAAGATTTGGACTGGTCCAGGCTCAGATCAAACAATGGGGGAGGAAGACGACCTTTTGATTCCTTGCGGGTTGCAGGCGGGCTGACAAACACCCAAGATTTGACTGTGAGTCACTTGTATGTTTTTGCATCTCTAAGCACCAACCCAGAAGAGCTGCTGCCAAAAAGACTCTGGACCCCTGATAAATGAGGTGGGACCCGCAAGACAGGATTCCCCACTAGAAAGGGACCCCGTCCCACTTTCGTCCGAATCCTTCTGACACGCGCACATCAGTGACGATCAGGTGTGTCGGTTCTTTTTGGCACCCAGAAAGGTGGCTTGTCGCGAAAACAAACTGGACGCCCACCATTTAAAAGGGGTTCCCGATAAGACGCACCCCGAACTTGCCCAATGTGACGAGCCAAAGCTTCTCTCCGCGACGCGACCGGCGACGCGACAGGAGAGGCAGGCGGAGCTGAAATCACGCCAAGAGGAGCTCGAGAAGCAAGTGGAGGACGCTCGTGGAGCGCAGACTTTCAATAGGGTGTGTGCTTTTTTGGGATGACTGCAAAGGGAAACCAACAGGAAAACCATGCATTTGGGGAGTTTCCAATGTTTGACAACCCAAAAGAGATTGGCGCAAGGCGGCAATGCGTGGAACCCCAAAAGGGGGCCCCGCAAAAGGAGTCTCCCTGGGAAAGCCCCGCAAGTCTCTACGAGAAGTTTCTTCCCAATTTGGGGTTCCATGTCAAGCAACTTTGGGGCCCTGGGAGTGCACCTGGAAGACTTGAAAAGAGCGCGGGTTCCCGGCAGCCTCTTTTGCGTATGGCGTCCCTCGCAGCAACCCCGTCCTTGTGGACAGTTTGGGTTTCAAGTCCACTTTCAGTGATACCAACTCCCCTTTAAAGTGGAGTAGTCATGATGGGCATCCCAGTTTGGTATCACTGAAACGGTACAACCATGAGTGACTCAGGTTGCCCTTATTTGGTGCGGGATACGAACCCCTGGCTTGGGTAAATGGGAAACCACCCAACCTCACAATCCAAAACACCAGCGAATCTGCGTACCACAACTTATCGAAGAACTCTTCTGTCGTCAGGCTGGGGTCCCAAAGTATCGTGCCCTTCGAATTGCCGGAAGGTTTTTGATGCGTCGGGTTGTAGCTGGCTTGGAGCCTAAGGTAACCCCCCCCCCACTCGCACGGTTTCTCGCGCCGTGTTTCTCGCGATGGTTCGCAGGCTTTGGCAAGGGAAGTTCAGGCCCAGACAGAGGCGGAGGGCTTTGGTTGAGAGCCGTTTTGCAGGCGAGACGCTTCGGTCATGAAATGAAGAGATGTTGCCGTTGTTTTATGGGTTTTCGAGCACACCGATCTGGGGGTACAACGAGCGATTAGCCATGATGTAGGTCCTTTATGTGGAGTTATGGTTTTCAGGTTTTAAAATTGTTGTAGAGTCTGCAGACATGATACTATCTATATGTGTGTGCCTATATATATATATATATGCAGTGCTGACTAGTTAGCAACGTATACATATTGAATCACCGAACATCTTGTTCGGGTTGGGGGGGGGGGGGGGGAACTGAATGTCTCCAAATCAAATACATAAATATTACACCAGCAGAGACCCCAAACAGTTGAGGGCTGACGGGCGGGCACAAACATGCCAACAGCTTGTGGCTTTCTGCGCTTCAACACGGATGAATCAAAATGATGCAGTCGTGAACCTGGCGCGCGTTGCGTTGCTGCACGTGTGTTGCTGGCGTGCTTCGCGCTTCAGCACCGCGCCAGAACTGAGGTTGGGCAAGCGCGCGCGATGGCGGGCGAGCGCGCGCGCGTGAACGCAAGTGTGGCCGCGCAAGCACGCAGTCACATGGGCAGTTCAAACACACATGTCCAATTCAGACACACATGTGTGTACACGTGGAACACACATACGTATACGACTGAAACAGTATACATTCACCTGCGGCACACGCATAAATGTGTTGAGCTGGAAAACAAACATGTGCTTCTTGGAAAGCACACACACACATGTGCAAACGTGGAACGCACATATGTGTTCACTTACGACACGCTAATGCGTTCACGTGGAACACACATGTGTGTTCACTTGGAACACAATGAAACGCGTGTCCAATTCAGACACACATGTGTGTACACGTGGAACACACATGCGTTCACCTGGAACACAAAGACGCGCAATTAAAGCACACATGTGTGTACGCGTGGGACACACATATGTATACCACTGGAACACAAACATGTGTCCACCTGGAACACCGCGTGTGCGATTAAAGCACACATGTGTGTACATGTGGAACACACATATGCGCACACGTGAGCAAACATAAATGCTCACCTAAATCGCACACACATGCGCGCACCTCGAAAACAATCATGCGTTTTCTGGAGCGCATACATGTGCACACCTGGAGAGCAAATATGTCGTCAGATGCCAAAAAAAGTTCATCTAGCACATACTAATGTGTTCACGTGAAACACACATCTGTTCACCTGGAACACAAACACGTGTCCAATTGGAACACACATGTGCGTACACGTGGAACACACATATGTGCACACGTGAACACGCATATGTGCACACGTGAACACTCACATATATGTGCACCCGGAACACACACCCGTGTGCTCATCTGATAACAACCATGTGTTCTCCTGGAACACAAACACGTGTCCAATTGGAACACGCATGTGTGTACACGTGAACACACATATGTGTACACGTGGGAGACGCAAATGCGCACACGTGACACACACACACATGTGCACACGTGGAACACACACATGTGTACTGCACATGTGAACACACACATTTATGCGCGCGCGGAAAACACAGACACACACGAGTGTTCATCTGATAACAAACACGTGGTCTCCTGGAACACAACCGTGTGTCTAATTGGAACACAACCGTGTGTACACGTGAACACACATATGTGTACACGTGAACACACACATATATTATATATATATATATGCGCACCCGGAACACACACACACACGTGCGTTCATCTGAAAACAAACATGTATTCACCTGAAACACAAACACGTGTCCAATTGGAACAAACATGTGTGGACACATGAACTCACAAATGTGTACATGTGGAACACACATATGTGTGCAAATGAACACACAAACATGCGCACGCGGAGCAGCACACACACACACACGCGTTCATCTGATAACAAACATGTGTCCTCCTGGAACACAAACACGTGTCCAGTTGGAACGCACATGTGTGCACGCGCGAACACACAATGTGTGCCGTGAACACACATACAAAAAAGTGCACGCGGAGCAGACACACACGCACGTGTTCATCTGATAACAAACATGTGTTCTCCTGGAACACAACCGTGTGTCTAATTGGAACACAGACGTGTGTACACGTGAACACACATATGTGTACACGTGAACACACACATATATACGCGCACCCGGAACACACACACACGAGTGTTCATCTGAAAACAAACATGTGTTCACCTGGAACACAAACACGTGTCCATTGGAACACACATGTGTGTACACGTGAACACACATATGTGTACACGTGGGAGACGCAAATGCGCACACGTGAACACACACATGTGCACACGTGCAACACACACATGTGTACTGCACATGTGAACACACACATTTATGCGCGCGCGGAAAACACAGACACACACGAGTGTTCATCTGATAACAAACACGTGTTCTCCTGGAACACAACCGTGTGTCTAATTGGAACACAGACGTGTGTACACGTGAACACACATATGTGTACACGTGAACACAGCACACGTGGAACACACACATGTGTACTGCACATGTGAACACACACATTTATGCGCGCGCGGAAAACACAGACACACACGAGTGTTCATCTGATAACAAACACGTGTTCTCCTGGAACACAACCGTGTGTCTAATTGGAACACAGACGTGTGTACACGTGAACACACATATGTGTACACGTGAACACACACACATATATATATATATGCGCACCCGGAACACACACACACGTGCGTTCATCTGAAAACAAACATGTATTCACCTGAAACACAAACACGTGTCCAATTGGAACACACATGTGTGGACACGTGAACACACAAATGTGTGCACGTGGAACACACATATGTGTGCAAATGAACACACACACATGCGCATGCGGAGCAGACACACACACACACGTGTTCATCTGATAACAAACATGTGTCCTCCTGGAACACAAACACGTGTCCAGTTGGAACGCACATGTGCGCACGCGTGAACACACAATGTGTGCACGTGAACACACATACAAAAAAAGTGCACGCGGAGCAGACACACACGCACGTGTTCATCTGATAACAAACATGTGTTCTCCTGGAACACATACACGTGTCTGATAAGAACACACATGTGTGTACACCTGAACACACATATGTGTACACGTGCAACACGCATATGTGCGCACGTGAACGCACATATGTGTACATGTGGAACACACATATGTGCACACGCGAACACACACACACATATATATATATATGCGCGTATGTGTTCACCTGGAACCCATATATGCGCTCACTTGGAACAGGCATTTGTGTTCACGTGCGACACTGGTGCAGACCTGGATCACACAAGCATGTTTAACCAGAACAAACTTCTGTGTTGACTTGTAACACACATATGTGTACACATGGAACACACGTGTGTGCACATGTGGAGAAACATGTGCAACACAAATGTGCAACACACATGCGTTCACCTGGACAACAAAAATGTGTTCACATGGAATTTACATTTCCTGCACGCCTGGGCGACACATAAATCAAGTTCCCGAAGCCGGCTGTGAGGCGCTATTCCATGGGGCTCTGCCTTGAACAACGCTTGTGTTTTATATGCGTGTTCCAAGTAGGAAAATAGTGTTCGTGTACGATCAATCTAGCTTTTTTGCAACACATTGCTAGCGCGCGAGCCTGCTGCTGCTGCTGCTGCTACTACTGCTAGTACTATCAGTATCGGATGCGTCTCCAGCAGTTACAGGCTTCAGCTTAGCAAAAGCTTTCCGGCACATTGCGCTTCTTTCTCGCTTAGCTGCACAGTGTCTTTCGTATCGATTGCTAAAGTGCTTTGATCGTATTGTGGCAACTCTTCGTATCGATTCAGTAAAGCATTTGCTTTCGCAGGGAAATACGCAACCCAATTCTTCCGTATGCTCGGTACAAGGCATCCCTGCCGTCTTGCCTCAGCCGTTGTTTCTCCCCTTTGTCCAGCAAATCGCACTCCATGATAATTGCATGCGAGGAGAGCGGAAGCAAATTTGGATTGAAGCGTAACTGGGAACCGGTCACAGCTGACCACTGCGCTAGCGCCTTGCTAGCGCGCGGCTAGCGCGGGTTCGCCGTATTTTTGGAGTCACGGCGACCATCTGTGTGGATTTGACAAATTAAGGCCACGTAAGATGAAGGTAAACGTGCGGGCTGGCTTCAAGTACTAAGTAAGAACTGCAACATTACACCCTTGAAAGCCACGCAAAGCCCATCGCGGCAACCCACGCGCCAACTCTTGGAAACCAAGATCACCGAAGACCCTAGCGCAAACCAAGCGCCATCCTAGCGCCTCCAGTGGGGAGCGGGCAATCCATTGGTATTTGCAGGACTCCGCTTGACTCCGCTTTGTGTGAATGAAAAACGGGTCGAGATTTAATTTGGGTTTTTTTTGTTTTATTTTGGGATTTTTTGTTTTCCGTCCTGGCTACTAAAATGCTGTAATTTACAGCATTTTCTCGCGAAATGTACGTATTTTACGCTAGTCCGTCAACATCATCAGCATCGTTTTCAACATCCCCCGCATGTCCAGCCAACATCCCCAGCATCACCAGCAAATTGGCTTCCCGCATCTCATGGTAAAAGTGAGGATCAAATACGGGCAAACTAATCCCTGTAAAACACCTAAAACGTGGCGGCAGCCCCCCCCATGATGATCGAAAAAGTGATGATTCAATCAGGGGCAAAAAGTCTAAAAAATAGCGGGGGGGGTTGGGGGGGGCGGCAGCCCCCCCCATGATGATCGAAAAATTAGGGGCAAAGAATCTAAAAAGTAGCTGTCGCATGATGATCGAAAAAGTGATGATTCAAATAGGCGTGCATTTTAATCGAAAGGGGGGTGGCGGGGGCCCAGAGAGGAACTGGCGATGCTGAGGATGCAGGAAGCCAACTGGAAAAGCATCAGGATGCGAAAAGCCAAAGCCAGAAAGCCGCCAAAAGCCAAAAAGCCAAAAAGCCAAAAGCCAAAAAGCCAAAAAGCCACCTGCCGCAGCGGAACTGGCAATGCAGAGGATGCGAAAAGAGAGGAACTGTGAATGCAGATGATGCGAAATGAAAAGCCACGAAAGCCACAAAAACCCACGTAGAAGCCACAAAAGCCAAAAAGCCGAAAAGCCACCGACCCTGAAAAACAAAAATAATTCCTAAAAAAAAACGAAAAATTCTTAAAAAAAATGGCCCTCCATTTAAAACTGCACAAAGTGACTGCGACGGTGGCCTCTGTAGACTAAACCCCCTTACTAGGAATTTTGACCGGATCGCATGTGTTTTATCAGAACAATCGCATGCTTTCACCTGGAACACAAACATGTGCTGACGTGGAACACACTCATGTGGTCACATGCAAAAAGTGCGTGTTCACTTGGAACGCGCCGATGTGGTCAGCTGGAACACACCAAGAACACACAATCATTTACTTGAAGCACTCGTACGTGCATCCGCAGCATGCTGCCTGTGGCTTGATCAAGCGCACGCGCGCGCTCAAACACACGTTTCTGAGCCTCAAACACACATGCGTGCCCGCGGAATACACCGCGAATGACCAGGGAGCCGTGCCAGGCATCCAGGCTGGGGGACAACAAGAAGGAGACAAGGGGAGACAAATGAACCCGTCCGCCCGGAGAGCCGTGCCAGACATCCAAGCTGGGAGACAAACGAATCCGTCCACCCAGAGAGCCGTGACAGGCATCCAGGCTGGGAGACAACCGGGGCCAAATAAAGGGAGACAAAGGGAGACAAATGAATCTGTCAGGCAAATGAAGGGAGAGGAACCCGTCCGCCGGGAGAGCCGGGACAACCCCAGGTGCCAAGAGCACCACTGGGTATCTCGGCGTAAGGTTCGTTGAACATCATCAAAGAATCGATAGACGATTTAACTCCAGCGTGATTCACGTTTGTTTCACCGGGGGGTTAACAGAGCCTTCTCGTAGCTGAAGCCGTGCACCGCAGCGCACCGCTCTCGTCAGCTCGGGACTCCAAATGCGAGCAAGGACAGAGAGAGGCCGCAACTGATAACGAGGCACTGAACGAACAGACAGGGTGTAGCCAACGATAGACAAGGAAGACGACCCACCACGAGCCCAAGCAAAATCGAAGTCCAGATGAAGGGCAGACAGAGGACCCTGTCCCCAACATCCACAAGACAAGGAATGACCGAAGCCAGGGCCGAAGCCGAAGGCAAACCAGACCCCGCCAAAAGGACAGAACCGCGGGAAGTGAAGGAAACCGCGGAGCGTGAGTGCCACACATCCAGAGGAGCATCCAGGCTGGGAGACAACGGGAGACAAACAAAGGGAGACAAAGGGAGACAAATGAATCCGTCCACCCAGAGAGGCATCCAGGCTGGGAGACAACGGGAGACAAATAAAGGGAGACAAAGGGAGACAAATCAATCCGTCCACCCACGAGATGGGAGACAAATGAAGGGGAACCAAGGGAGACAAGTGAATCCGTCCGCCTGGAGAGCCGTGACAGACATCCAGGCTGGGAGACAACGGGAGCCAAATGAAGGGAGACAAAGGGAGACAAGTGAAACTGTCCACCCAAAGAGCCGTGCCAGGCATCCAGGCTGGGAGACAACGGGAGACAAATGAAGGGAGACAAAGGGAGACAAGTGAATCTGTCCGCCTGGAGAGCCGTGCCAGACATCCAGGCTGGGAGACAACGGGAGACAAATGAAGGGAAACAAAGCCCAGAGAGCCGTGCCAGACAAATGAAGGGAGACAAAGGGAGACAAATGAACCCGTCCACCCAGAGAGCCGTGCCAGGCATCCAGGCTGGGAGGCAACGGGAGACAAATGAAGGGAGACAAAGGGTGACAAATGAACCGTCCACCCAGAGAGCCGTGCCAGGCATCCAGGCTGGGAGACAACGGGAGACAAATGAAGGGAGACAAAGGGAGACAAATGAACCCCTCCACCCCAGAGAGCCGTGACAGGCGTCCAGGCTGGGAGACAACCGGGGCCAAATAAAGGGAGACAAAGGGAGACAAATGAATCCGTCAGGCAAATGGAGGGAGAGGGAGACAAATGAACCCGTCCGCCGGGAGAGCCGGGACAACCCCAGGTGCCAAGAGCACCACTGGGTATCTCAGCGTAAGGTTCGTTGAACATCCTCGAAGAATCGATAGAGGGATTTAACTCCAGCGTGATTCACGTTTGTTTCACCGGGGGGTTAACAGAGCCTTCTCGTAGCTGAAGCCGTGCACCGCAGCGCACCGCTATCGTCAGCTCGGGACCGCAACTGATAACGAGGCGCTGAACGAACAGACAGGGTGTAGCCAACGATAGACAAGGAAGACGACCCACCACGAGCCCAAGCGAAATCGAAGTCCAGATGAAGGGCAGACAGAGGAGGACCCTGTCCCCAACATCCACAAGACAAGGAATGACCGAAGCCAGGGCCAAAGCCGAAGGCAAACCAGACCCCGCCAAAAGGACAGAACCGCGGGAAGTGAAGGAAACCGCGGAGCGTGAGTGCCACACATCCAGGCTGGGAGACAACGGGAGACAAATGAATCCGTCCACCCAGAGAGCCGTGCCAGGCATCCAGGCTGGGAGACAACGGGAGACAAATAAAGGGAGACAAAGGGAAACAAATGAATCCGTCCACCCACAGAGATGGGAGACAAATGAAGGGGAACCAAGGGAGACAAGTGAATCCGTCCGCCTGGAGAGCCGTGACAGACATCCAGGCTGGGAGACAACAGGAGCCAAATGAAGGGAGACAAAGGGAGAAAAGTGAATCTGTCCACCAAAAAAACAGTGCCAGGCATCCAGGCTGGGAGACAACGGGAGACAAATGAAGGGAAACAAAGGGGTGCCAGACATCCTGGGAGACAAAGGTAGACAAATGAACCCGTCCACCCAGAGAGCCGCGCCAGGCATCCAGGCTGGGAGACAACGGGAGACAAATGAAGGGAGACAAAGGGAGACAAATGAACCCGTCCACCCAGAGAGCCGTGCCAGGCATCCAGGCTGGGAGACAACGGGAGAAATCAAGGGAGACAAAGGGAGACAAATGAACCCGTCCACCCAGAGAGCCGTGCCAGGCATCCAGGCTGGGAGAGAACGGGAGACAAATGAAGGGGACAAAGGGAGACACATGAACCCGTCCACCCAGAGAGCCGTGCCAGATCCAGGCTGGGAGACAACGGGCGACAAATGAAGGGAGACAAAGGGAGACAAGTGAATCTGTCCACCCAGGCATCCAGGCTGGGAGACAACGGGAGACAAATGAAGGGAGACAAAGGGAGACAAATGAACCCGAGCCGCGCCAGGCATCCAGGCTGGGAGACAAATGAAGGAGACAAAGGGAGACAAATGAACCCGTCCACCCAGAGAGCCGTGCCAGGCATCCAGGCTGGGAGACAACGGGAGACAAATGACAAAGGGAGACAAATGAACCCGTCCACCCAGACTGGATCATCCAGGCTGGGAGACAACGGGAGACAAATGAAGGGAGACAAAGGGAGACAAGTGAACCCAGGGAGACAAACGAACGCGTCCACCCAGAGAGCCGTGCCAGGCATCCAGGCGGGGAGACCACGGGAGACAAATGAAGGGAGACACAGGGAGACAAATGAACCCGTCCACCCAGAGAGCTGTGCCAGGCATCCAGGCTAGGGCTTGGCAACAGGCGAGCCACCTTAAATGAATTTAGAACCCCTCACAGTAAACTGTTTGGGGAATAATTGACATGGTCGGGATGTCTCTGGCTCTATTTGGGACGTGTGCAACTGATTCCCTCACATATTGCCAAGCAGGCAGTGCATGATAAATCTTGCCGGTTTTCACTGCATTTGAAGAACAAACCAACAAGCTGGATATTGAGAGACCCCTGTTATTAGCCCCCCAAACCACGGACATCATTTCCGCTCACCCAAACCAAGCACAAATCATTTTCGACATGGGGGACATTCCTTTCAACGCCTCCCTGTGGTGAGAGACACATCAGAAGCTGCTATCCTTTTCTCTTATTCGACCTTATTGATTGAGATTCATGTTGCACACTTATCAAGTTTGGCTTGCACTTCGGTTTCGCGACCGAGTTTGGGCAAACCACCTGCTTGAAGCATGACTATGAAAAAACAAGTTTGGCACTTGGCGCACTGTCGAAGCATATCCACTGCATGTGCCAAATGCTAGCCGCAGCCCTAGGTAGCTCATCCTGCTCATTGTCACAGCCCTTGCGATCAAGCAGGGCCGTATTTGCTGCTGTTTGCAGTTGTTTTGATCAAGTCAGGTTGTTGACCACCTATTGATTGCATCTACAGACTCCCCTCTGCAGAGGTCACACACATCAACAGGACAAGTCTATGACTCGCAAGTTGCTACAACTACTGCAGTTGTTGCCAGGGAACAAGACTGCGCTTACTCAACCATTTATTTTCATGTAAGCAGGTGTCTCCGTTCAGGGGATTATTTCACCAGGCTTGCTAACCACTTGCTTGACGTACCGAATCGATCGCTCGGACAGGCACTGCAGGGTCAGCGCGAGCTCCAGCAGTCGCAAGACCAGGCGCCAGGGGGGGGACTGCGGCCAGTTGGGGGGTTTCTCAAGGGAACATTTCAGGTTTGGGGGGGTTTTGCCCTTGACGCGTTTTTTCAAAACGGCTCATGACCGCCTTTTTGGCTAGATGTTGTTTGTTTTCGTTATGCTCGTTTCCTGAGTTGGCCCTGGAGTTGGCCGTGTTTTCGGAGAAGATCAAGGGGCCGAATGCGTGTTTTTCAGGTCCAGCAGGATGCATTTAGTCATAAACCGTGTTCGGGGACAAACATGCCATTTTGGGAAGCCCCCATTTGGGTATGTCAAATAGCGGGATCCGAAAAGCCTGTTGGGTTCCCTTTCAACCATCCTGAGAAAGCGTACCAAACACACACCAACCCAGTTTGAAACCCCATAGGTTTCTGAAACTAGCCGGTTTTTCAGCATGGGCCATAGTTTTCCCATTGCAAAGCAAAGTTCTTTGGGGTTGTTTTATGGAAACCTGAGGAAGGCCATGCCACCGCAAGTGGCGGTTGGAATTTCTTCTCATCCTTGAGACAAGGGTTGGTTACATAAATCACAGGACGCCCATCCCAGTCGGGTCCATGCAGCTTTTCAGCTTGGCAAGTCACCAATCCAAATCTGCGAAATCCGCTGGCCGGGGCTTGTTTGTGGGGGAAGGGGTGTTTGCTGTACATGTGCCATGCTCGAAAAGTCTGGGTTGCGCAGTTTGCCACCTGGGACACGCGGTAGCTCAAGATGGGGCGTTTCCAGAAGGAAGGGCCGCTTTCTAGCAAGCCATACTTTCCAAAAACGAGGTTTCCCAAACTCGGGCTGCTGAAAATTCGGGACTCCCATTCCGGGCAAAAGGATGGCCCTTCCGAAGCTTGATGAAAGGCGACCCCGTTTTGAGACCCAACCACGCCCTAAGATTTGACCTTGCCTCAACCCCAAGGTGTCCGGCAGGTTGCCAGGACCGGAAGGGTCCCTCAAAGGGACACCGCCGCACTGTACCGATCACCTCGTGATTCAGTGATGGGACTCCCCACCTCACAGCGACGCCTTTGTTTTCCCCCGCGGGCGCCAGGCAGTTGCCACCTCCCGCCGGGAGTTGAAAGAGAAGCAGCAGGCAGCCACGGAGGCCAGGGCGAAAGGAACGGCAAGGATTCGGGGCGGCACAAGTTTTGTTCACATCATTTGTTTTGTGGGGTGCAACAAAGCCAAGTTTTTGGGTCTCCCGATCAAAGGGATGTGTTGCTGGTGTTTTTCAGCAACCCCGCATGGGTTTGAAGGGGGGTTCTCACCCTCCCCAGGCATATTGAAGTTTCAATGGTTGGCCCACACGTGGGTCTTTTGAAAAGGTTGGTTGTGTCACATGCAGGGGCACCTGCGTGGGAGTAGGTGCTTGCGCTCAGCGCAAGGATGTATTTGATTTGGGACGCCCTTTGCGGTGGGCGGCAAAAGAGTTTGGACCCCTTCGACTCTCCGGAAGTGCCGGCCAGTTTTGGGCAGAAGGACTTGGCAGAGGCCCAGATGCTTCCATTTGCGTACGATTATGTTTTATTTTTGTGTTGGCTTTAATTGGAATCTATCACTACTGGACATGTGATTGTCCAGGGGACTTAGAGTCTCTCCAGCGGTTCGGTCTGAATTGTTGGTGGTCCATTGTCCAGAGGACGCTAAATTTCTCTCAACAACCAGCATGTCCTCTGGCTCTAGGGGAGAAATGCTGACTTTTGCTCATATGCCACTTCATTTCGTACAGGTTTGCTGGCTTCGAGGTTTTCCCTTCAAACATGTGATTTCTGGGTGTTTCCTGTCAACGCCGTTTGCTGGTCTATTTCCATTCGGCAACCTTTCAAATTGTTTTGCGGGCCCTCCACACTTGCAAATGGCTTATCCTTTCTTTGTCTCTCGCTTGCAGGGCCTTGCTCAGAAGGAGAAGTCTTCCCCTCGCTGCTCGCCCATGTTGAACGTATCAAGCAAGGTGTGGGCACCAATCGCAATGCCAAGTCATCTTCAGTGTTAATGCTGCATACGGATATTAGAGGCTCCTCCGTAAGGTTGATCTAAGCATTTGGCCTTTGTTTGAAACCATCCAAAAAGAACACCATCCCAATTCTGAGACATGAAAGCAAATCAACTGGATCTGGGGATCAAGTTGTAACGTTGGCCAATCCCTAACTCGTGTTTGTTGGCTCTTCTATACCAGGGTCATGTTACCTTTCCCTGTAGATAGCTAAGGGAACCCCAGCCCTTTGAGAACCAAAGGGACAATTTGCGAAAGGTACTACATCTAGTCGGTGGTTGCAAGGGAGCTGGACTTGGAGCTGGTATCCAAACTTGCTTTTCTAGAGGGAGCCTTCTGGAGCCGATCGGAGTCCTGTAAGCACATGGGTCGATATACCCTCCCACCAGCTACCATGGAACCTGACAGAGGTCCCTTTCACCGCCCGAACGTCGAAGGGTTCCATGTGAAAATGGTGTGGCTTCCGACAGTTCGGTTGCCCTTCGCCAGTCCGAGCGCTGCCTGCAGAATTTGGGCGCGCGCCTGCGCCGGGCGCGGGAGGCGAAACGGGGCCGAGACGTGGGACGGTCCGTAGGTTTCGGGAGACTCGGGATTCTGTGTTTTTCTGGGCGGGGCCCGGGGGGGGGGGTTCAAAATGTGTTTAACCAACCAACCTTTGGTCTCCTTAAACCTTAACAGAGAAGCCCATCAGAGGCAGTTTGCTACAGAGGCTGAGGCGCTTGTTTTTCGAGCTGCGGCTGGCAACATTTGCTAAGACTGAACATAGGCAGCCAGCGAATCCCTTGAAACTAGATGGGTGTGCTTTTTGAGGGGGCCCTTTGTTTGGGTCGTTTTAGGCGGAAACCAAAAGGACACCACCCATTTTGGGGTAGGTACCGAGTTTGCAGGTGCATCTGCAACAAGCAGCGGGGACTGTCCTTAGCCAGGATAAGAGAGCAGCTGGCGTCCGAACACAAGAGCAGAAAGAACAGCCAACGGCAGCTGCATCGGCTGAACAACAGGAGTCCAAGGATGTAAAATCTCCAATTGCGACCTTCGCAGCCAGGCTAACGCCCCTAGAGACAGATGCTCTGCCCACCATCCATTCTGCAAGGGGTCGCCCATCCAGAGCGGTTCAACCCTCTGAAGCACCCCCCCTTTTCATGCACAAATGAGAGACTCGAGTTAGCCAGTTGAAGCAAAAACACACCAATAGGGCGCCTCCCTTTGCAACTTGTTCAACAAACCTCCTAGGTTCCCTACCATCCAATGGCCACCTCAGCTGCTTCGGCAGGCGCGGCTGCGGCTCCTGTGCCAGAGCGTCTTGGAGGAGAGCAGAGATCCCGTCTGAGGATTTCACCAAAGGGGCCGTCCCATGACGACTCCTTTCCTCCAACGGAATTAGCTCCCCTTTTGGGGTCCCCATTGTTTTCCACTAACCAGGCAAAACATATAGCTTTTTGCTGTGGTCCTAATTCCAGCCAAGTTTCTTGGAGCTTCCTCTAGTTGGAGGATTGCTGTAATTCATCCCGAACAGTTACATGAGAGCAAATAGGGTGGCAGGAAAGGGGTGGGGAAGTTCCAGTTTCCATGTGACGCACCATCTCTCCTCCCCGTTTCTTGCATTAGGTACCCCAGCCCGTGCGTCAGCTACTATCCCCCTATCCGCGCATCAGGTTCCCCCTATCCCGATCCGCGCGTCAGCTACTATCCCCCTATCCGCGCGTCAGGTACCCCCTATCCCGATCCACGCGTCAGCTACTTTCCCCCCCCGCGCGTCAGGTACCCTCTACCCGGATCCGCGCGTCAGCTACTATCCCCCCTTCCCGCGCTACTATCCCCCCTCCGCGTGACAGGTACCCCCTATGCCGATCCGCGCGTCAGCTACTATGCCCCTATCCGCCCATCACATACCCCGAGCGCGTCAGCCACTATCCCCCTATCCACGCTGTCAGGTACCCCCCATCCCGATCCACGCGTCAGCTACTATCCCCCCGCGCGTCAGGTACCCTCTACCCGGATCCGCGCGTCAGCTACTATCCCCCCTTCCCGCGCTACTATCCCCCCTCCGCGCGTCAGGTACCCTCTATCCACGCGTCTGGTGCCCCCTATCCCGATCCATCAGGTACCCCCTATCCTGACCCGCGCGTCGGCTACTATCCCCCCGCGCGTCAGGTACCCTCTACCCGGATCCGCGCGTCAGCTACTATCCCCCCTTCCCGCGCTACTATCCCCCACTCCGCCCCGATCCGCGCGTCAGCTACCATCCCCCTATCCGCGCGTCAGGTACCCCCTATCCCGATCCGCGCGTCAGCTACTATCCCCCCTTCCGCGCGTCAGGTACCCTCCAACCGGATCCGCGCGCTAGCTACTATCCCCTTCCTGCGCTACTATCCCCCCTCCGCGTGACAGGTACCCCCTATGCCGATCCCTACTATGCCCCTATCCGCCCGTCACATACCCCGAGCGCGTCAGCCACTATCCCCCTATCCACGCTGTCAGGTACCCCCTATCCCGATCCACGCGTCAGCTACTATCCCCCCGCGCGTCAGGTACCCTCTACCCGGATCCGCGCGTCAGCTACTATCCCCCCTTCCCGCGCTACTATCCCCCCTCTGCGCGTCAGGTATCCTCTATCCACGCGTCTGGTGCCCTATCCCGATCCATCAGGTACTGTACCCCCTATCCTGACCCGCGCGTCAGCTACTATCCTCCCGCGCGTCAGGTACCCTCTACCCGGATGCGCGCGTCAGCTATCCTCCCTTTCCGCGCAACACGCACCCCCTATCCCGATCCGCGCGTCATCCAGGTACCCCCTATCCCGATCCGCTCGCTAGCTACTACTATCCCCCTATCCGCACGTCAGGTACCCCCTATCCCGATCCACGCGTCAGCTGCTGTCCCCCCTTCACCCCAATATGCGCGTCACTACTATCCCCCGATCCACTTGTCAGCTACCATCCATACGTCGTTTTTTTGCAGCATTTTGTCAAGCAATTTACGTATTTTACAATAGCCCGTCAACAGTAAACAAATCTAAAAAGTAGCAAGCGGGTTGACGTGCTCGAAAAAGTGATGATTCAAATAAGGGTGCAACTCAACCCCCCATGATTCAAACAGGGGCGCAGTTGAATCTCTCTAGAGAATCTAAAAAGTGGCGGGGGGGTTGGGGGGTGGCGGCAGCCTGCCATGATGCTCGAAGAAGTGATGATTCATGCAATTCAATCTCTGTGGGGAATCAAAAAGGGGTGCAAATCAATCTCTGTAGAGAATCTTCAAAGTACCAGGGGGGGGGGGGGGGTTGGGCAGGCCCCTCCATCATAAGCGAAAAGGGTGATGATTCAATTAATTATTGGGGGCGCCATGATTCAAGAAAAGGTGTCACATAAATTCGCAGCGGGGGGCTGGGGCGGCTTCCCCTATGATGTTTGAAGAAGTGCACACATACAGACATACATATACATAGATTACATAGCTTACATACATACATGCAGACATACATAAACTTAAACATAAATATACGGAACACTTGCCGGAGGGGAACTGGTGATGCTGAGAATGCGGGAAGCCAACGACAAAAACAACGTGCTGGAGAGGAACTGGGAAAGCAGAGGATAAGCCGCCAAAAGCCGCATAATCCAGCGAAAAGCCGCAAAAGCCAAAACGCCACCTGCCGGAGAGGAACTGGGAATGCAGAGGATGCGAAAAACCAAAGCCAACAATTAGCCAGAAAAAGCCGCATAAACCAACCGGAAGCAGAAAAGCCAAGAAGCCGAGAAGCCAAAAAGCTAAGAAGGTTTGCTTGTTGTGTGTGTGTGTGTGAATGCCGGTTTTTTGGCGGGTCGGCCTGCTGCCGTTCATGAATGAAGTTGGAAATTTCCACTGGGCCTCATAGTTTGCTTGTTGTGTGTGGTTACCACATTGTTTCGTGCAGTTGGAGCCTCCGTGCGCGTCAGGTACACTAACTAACTTCCCGTACTATCCTCCTCCCGCACGTCAGGCACCCCCTATCCGATCCCGCGTGTCATGCGCAATTTCCCAACGCTGCGCCTAACCTTCCCGCCTTACTCGATCCCGCGCGTCAGGTATTATCCCCGCAGGAAGTGGGGCAAGTAACCAACTAACTAACAACGAACAACAACTGGCGCAATTGCTGGCATCCAACAACTGTGAGCTGCTGATTTGCTTTCCTTGAACGGGAGGCTGACCTGGCTGACCTGGCTGACCCCCAAGAAGCACTAAGAGACTGGCTGAGCTGACCTGGCTGGCGGCTGACTGACAGACTGACTGACTGACTGACTGACTGACTGACTGACACTGAATTACTGACTGACTGACTGACTGACTGACAGACTGACTGACTGACTGACTGACTGAATTACTGACTGAATCACTGACAGACTGACTGGCTGGCTGGCTGACTGACTGACTGACTGACTGACTGACTGACTGACTGACTGACTGACTGACTGACTGACTGACTGACTGACTGACTGACTGACTGACTGACTGACTGACTGACTGACTGACTGACTGACCGACCGACTGACTGACTGACTGACTGACTGACTGACTGACTGACTGACTGACTGACTGACTGACTGACTGACTGACTGACTGACTGACTGACTGACTGACTGCCTGACTGACTGACTCTAACTAACTAACCACCCAACCCCCACCCTCCTGCATCATAGCGCCCCACACGTCAGGTACTACCTAACCCGATTCAAACTAATTAAGTAACTAACTAATTACTTAACTGGCTAGCTAGCGCTAGCTTGCTACCTGACTAACTAACGAGCCAACTCACTGCCTATCTTGTTAACTAACAAACAAACAAACTAACTAATTGACTAGCTGATTAACTATCTAACTCGCCAACTAGCCCGGAAGTCAAGGTCAAACTTGACGGACGAGGGCAGGCAGAAACACCGTCGCACCTACGACGAGGTCTGCCAGGAGGAGCTGAACCGCTACAGCTCACGGGCAAATCCATGGTCAGGGGCGGCGGGCGCTCCTCGATCCTGGGCCGTGACACCCAGGCCATTTGGAAAACAGTTATCAGTTATCTTTATTGTGATTTGTCGCTTCTTTCTTGTGAACCTTTTCGGCTTTGACTGCAGGAGTCGCATTTGGGCTACTACAAACACTTGGTATCCCTTTTGCTGGAGCACGGGCTTGTCACGGAAGTCCCGGTGAAAATCCTCGACGTGGCAACCAAAGCCAATTTCAGGAGCTTCTATAAGCGCCTGGAAACGGCCACCACCAGCCGCACTCGGGTATTCTGCGGACGCAAACCTGCGCTTAGCCTTGATCTTTGTTCTTCTTTTGACTTTTCATCAAAAGGCAAAAAACAAACACGAGTGGCCTAGGACCCGCGCTTTGAGCGTGGTCGTGAGGGTCCTAGTCTCGCGCCACCCCGAGCTCGAGCGGAACGCGTCGAGGCAGAAAGCGGAGCGGCTTGTGAAGCACCTCCGGGGGTTCAGCAAGTCCTGTCAGGACGCGCTGGCCCTTTCAGGGTCGTATCTGCCGGCAAAGGTGGACGACCTTAAGAACCCGTTAACATTGGAGGAGAGGGGTGAACAAAATCTGAAACAAATGTCA